AAAAAAAAAACATTCAAAACAACACCCATGACTAGGCCTCTTAGAAAATAAATAATTAAAATATGAGATCTCAAAAACAGCTCAAACGATCTCAACAATGAAACTTTTCCACAAACAATGAATTTATAATAAATTAATAACTGAGGCCAAATCAATCATCATCCGGAATATCAACTTTTCGACGTTTCAAAAGTATTACGCTATCACTACTGGGGGTAGAACTCTTTTTAATAAATTTGGGAGGCGTAAAATCGAGCAGATCATCAGAATCGGTAGTTTCGTTGCTGTTTGAGGTGATGGTAGGTGAGGCAAAATCATCAATGGCGTTAGGTAGAGGTCGGGTGTCTATAGCGAAGTCCTCGCCGTCGGCGAAAATCTAAAAGCTTGAATACAAGCCCTAAGTGACGTTAGATGTCCCGTAAAAATTTCAGTACTCGCAAACACTCCCGATCTTTGAAAAATTAGATTTTTGAGAAGAACTGCAATGTTGATCAGGGCATTGAATAAGATGACTGTCAATGTTCATATCAGCTCATGGAAGCCCGCCGCTCGCTCCACTATTTGAGATAAATTAGTGAAAGAGAAGCGAGCAAAAAGGCTCACATCGTCGTCAATGTTGATCTCACTCGTGTCAGCAAAACTCTCTTCCACCATATAGTGAGCAATAGCTACGTTATCTGGGTTGGTTTCAGCCAGCATTTTGTTGATATCGGAGATTCCGAGCCATGAACAGAACTCTGCCGTCTGTGGATTTCTGAACGGAAAAAGTTATTCCAAGGCAACAAAAGCCACCAAAGTTAGCGCCAAACCTATAGTAAGAAGACGACGGAGCGAGCCGCGCCCTTGGAGTGTCCTCCTTCAGTGGCGGTGCAGTTTGTCTAAAGTTTTCCGGGATCGTGAGATCACCCAACTCTGCGATAGCAGCCAGTTCGCTTTCAGTCGGTCGAAAATCCGATCGCTCTTCCGAACGAGCAGAAGGTAAGAAAGCATTCTATAACAAAAGTTGCATAAAAATAGTCAATTGTTACTTACAGACGAAAAAAACTGTAGGGGTAGAACACTTTTAACATATAAACTAAAAAAGTAATTTCAGCAGTTTTGTACGCTCAAGAGCGTTCTCACTCGAATTTGCTTCACATGATTTTAGGCCTTCCAAACAGACTAACTTTCGAAATAAAAAATTGGAGAGAAATTGTATAAGCCTAAATATCTTACAGTTCGAGATATACTGGTGAAACCGTCCGTGCTTCTCAAAATTGCTAGCCAGACCGGGTCATACGACAACTTCAATTCGGCATCATCCGCGATATCCAGCTCCAATGCCTGTAAATTTTCATACAATATGATAATCTGAAAATTAAACATCATAACTTTACAGAAGCAGTTTGTTGACAGGTGAATAAGAGCGATACCACCGAAGACCATACCTGTAGAAAGTGTCGTCTAGGAATAGGCTTGTCCAAGGCCAAAAAACGCGTAGGAGCGGCTTCTTCAGCACCATTTTTTGATTTGTGCGGTACCAAAGCAGCGAAGGCGACATGCAAATGTGCTGACAGCCAGTAACGCGGACGAGTTTCCTAGAAAAAGTCTTTTGAAAACGGAATCCTCCTGTCTATTACATCAGTAATTACAACAGAAATGAACTAAGTGAAAGACCTACATAAAGAATCTGCATAGTAGAAGGATTCCCCAGATTCCCATGTTCAATGTCATGATGGAAGAAAGGCTTAGTCCTCAGAAGTAGTTGCTTATCACCATAATCCACAATACCGGCCGGCCAGTCATGGGTCACCATTATATCGATGGGATTCTGAAAAAGTGGAAAATCAGTTAAACAGGGAATGCCTAGAAACAAGGGCAACGAACACTGGTGTAGTCATCATCGGCCGGTTTCAAGTGTTTTAGTCTCCAGACATCGATATTCCGAACATGATATGAGGATATTACTTCGGAGCGATCAGAATACGGTGGACGTTCGTAGTGGCCTAGAACAACATAAGCGCTACTTCAATAAAAATGTAGCATCAATGTATATAGCAGAAGAAGGCATCAAACAGTTGCGGAATCAATAACTGATTGATTGATGCAGGAAGCGCGAATCATTCCAGTCGGGGATAAAGCGCATAGAGCACCGAACACTTACCACGATTGAATTCTTTGGCATTGTAGATTCCTGACAAGCCAGCAATTCGGAGACCCGCAAATCTAGAATGCTGGAGATCGGGCTTAGGGAAACCATAACACATTCAACATTATTTCGACAGAAACGGAAGTGGACATTGCATAATAAAAATTCACCTAAACTCACCTTACCACATTTGCAAAGCCCATATAGTATATTTTCGGAGCAACCCAACCACCATTGGGTAACTCAGATAAATAGCCGGAAGCCTCATGATTGCCTCCCACAAAGATAGTTAAAATCGGTGCTTCCTAAAACGAATACGAGGAAAAATTCCGCCACATTTTGCCGAATCTCTGATTTCAGAAAGTAAATAACCTTCTCCCCGGAGTAATACTTATAGAAAGTTTGCAAAGATCGGTACTTCTCGCTGACATGCATATGATGGAGGTCACCATAATTCCGCACAGCCTATAAGTGGAAACGGTGAATAACTCATAAATAACGTAGCCAATTGAGAAGAGAAATAGAGCTTTTCCAATCCCCAGCAGAAAAATTACCTGGTAGTCCCCACAACATATCAGCAAGTCAAACTTGTACCCCCTTTCCTTCTCTATTTCTGCCAAAACTTCGTATATCGTGTCCATTTCGCCATGAGCACAACCAGCTATCGCTATTCTTAGCTTTCTGGACGAAGCATTTTGTTGCTTACTATCTTCTTCCGCTACACCTGTAGATGGAAGGAAACGCAATCAATAATTGGAGCAAAATGGAAAAAAATACCGGATTCCGTTGCCACAGCAGCGTCGTCAATTGTTAGTGGATCCTCAGTCCTCAGCGTTCCAGCAGTGATTGGTTCAAGCTCTTCATCACTGGAAGGGACGCATCCTGAGGATTTTTCACCTAGAGGATTTGTCAGAGAGTATGTCTTGCAAGGATGAATTGCTGAAGAATTTCATATGCATATGAAGCATATGAACATGTAGCGCTCGAATGAAAAAAATGCAATATGAGCGTGAAAAACTTCTTGCACAAGAAGGCGTACTACGTATCTACAATCAAAATATCTTACAGCCCTTGTTCGAATTACCCTGACTTTAAAGGGCAAGCGTCGTGCAATGTGCACTGAACACTGACAAATTAAAGTGGTGTATACGAATCAGCATCATAATTCCAGTCCGAAAAGTAATTCTAGAATACTGCTGCTAACCTTGCATTTCATCGCTGATATGATCTTCACCTGTGTCTCCACTCATGGTGTTTCCAACACTTTTCTTTTCCTGGACATCATCTATCATATCAACTTATTATAACTAAAAAGGCTTGCTTTGAAAGTATCTGAATGGTTAACAGCAAAGGTATGGAATTAGAGGAGTATACGACCGCATTGTAAAGAAAAAAAACCCAATAATAAGATCCATTTATTAGTGCAAAGAACATATATACAACAATTCATGAAAAATCATTTTCTCCAATAATCGACTTTTTCCATTTCTACAAGAGGAAGTAGTTGGTCGGCAAAGTCCCGCAATTGTTTAGCCGCCTAAAATCGTGAGGACTAGAGGCATGAAAAGGATTTTATAAATGAAGTGACGAACTCACAGCAGTGTATTCGGCAGAATCCGGCAAACATACACTCATTTCCACAAGATATGAATCAGAAAATCGCTTCAGGTTACTTTGATCATAATATCCAGCCTGAATTGGGCAAAATAAAGAAACCACGTCAAGACATAACAAAATATTATGAAATATTATTTAAAAAAATAAAAAGCTAAGAATTTTCTACCTTCTCCGTTTTTTGAATCTGGCTTATCACAACTTTCATTTTTCCATTTGTCCATACGGTACCCTTAGCTATGTATTCGTAATCCATGCGTAGACCTATGCGAAAGTTTTTGCAAAAGAGCAATGGCCTGAAGGGTAGAAATATGTTTATTCTTACCTAGCGTCTTCACAAAATCCATCATCAAGTGAGAATAAGCGATCGAATCAATTACTTTTCTAACAATCACCGGGCACTTCTGATCAGGCTCTGGTCCTACAAATTTGAAGTAAGACAAATTAGATACACTTGATTAGAACCAGAATCCGAATCAGATTATTTACCTCCAATATATCGAAATTGCCACTGATGACTATTGAAAGAGTCGACATTGAAACGACGACGAAGCCTGCATACGAAAGAAATTATTAGAAGCTTGAGAAGCTTGAGTCAAAAGAGATCTACCTAATCGTAACATCAGGATCTGTTCCTGTTCGAAGACTAAAGGAAAGATCATGCTCGTGAAATTCAGTTGAACCAGGATCACAAAGCCCGGTCAAACGCCGCTCCAAATCCTGGAAGAGAGTATCTAAAAAGTCAAAAACAAGTAAGTAAGAATAAAAAGAGAAACGGAAAAATACGTTTTACATGAATTAATGCCTATACTACCCATTCAAAAATATCTCCAACTCACTGGCAAATTATCCGCAAACACACTTCCATATAAAATCAGTTCTTGACATTGATATGGCATTGAAGTAAGAGCTGCTTTCGAGGCCTGAACAGGAATAGGAATTCCTTCTTACGAAGTGCTCCAAATGGGAATATGATTGCCCCAAGACAGCACCTTCTCTCCTTCTGCATCTTCTTCTGTTTTGTCCATATCCCCTGCACCGTTTTTAAGCAATTCTGAACAAAGCCTGATAGAAAAAAAAACGAACACAAAACAAAAGTAAACAAATACAAACTGCCAGGGGCTTCCTTTTGGAGGCAAGTGGAGTTTCTGCAAATTTACGTTGGCAATTCCAAAAAGTTGTGCTGGAGCGCGTAAACCGCCTTCCTCCAACTTGCAGTGCCTTCTACGCCGTAGGTGCGACTTTCCTACAGGTACTTTTTTCGTGTTTGCTGTGGGGTAATCCTATGTATTTCAGAATCTCTGTGTCTTGAATGCAATGAAGAAACCAAGGCGTCGTGTTAACGAATCAGATTTGGATTACACCAGAGATGCGGAAGAGAACTCGAAAATACTATTGAAGGAGAAATATGAGATGCTTCGGTGGACTGACACTGTTGAAATTAAAACTCCAAACCTCCTAATTCCAGCTCAAATAGCCAACTATGTAGAGTCGTTGCCATTCTGTAAGATTAGTGTTCCATCGTGAGTTCCCTTTGAAGTTGTTTATCTTTATGGTGTGGAGTTTTGTTAGTTGGTTATTCAATATGTAAAAAGAACTTGTCATCAAACGGGACTATGTAAAGATGACATTTATACTATAAAAACTCATCCTCAACCCTCCCCTCATCGCGTATGCCTTGTGCCAATTCTCTCTCGCCAAAAAACTTGTTGTTCTGAGCCGTTCAAACTTGAAGGGGATAAACAAAAAGCAAGACTACTACGACTAGACTACAAAGGGTTCTTTTCCACCAGGGTTGTTCAACCGGGTTGCTCGAAAGCTTGTCTTTTCGCTTGCGTGTCCCTATACTGCTAATTTTTTTTTTGCTTTTACTGTGAATCAAACCCTAAGGACCGTGACCTTTCCTTCACACCTTTTGGCCATTCATGTTCTGTGTTGCGATTCATGGACAAAACTTCAGTTGAAATTTCGTCCATAACTCGCCGACCTTGTGAGATTCGCATCGCAAGTTGCGGCGAAAAAAACAGCAGTTAACAAAACATGAAGTCAAAGCGAGTTACCTGCTCGACTGCTTTTAGGTAAATATCATTAACTCTGTTCAGTCAATCTTGTTCTGTTCCTTCGTTTGAACACGAGAAACTGTCCTTTCTGGTTAAAGCTTAGGGCTAGCATCCGATGATATTAAAGATCTAAAAGTCTTCCAATCAGTCTTCTCACATTTAAAACCCACAGCTAGAAGAACAGTGAGGGTAGACAATCTTCATCACATAAATGCAATATTTCCAAGCTTTTCTTACTTGCTTTAGGTTTTAAGTTAGATCTCTCTATGAGCGTAGGACTCCCTCCTCTTTACAAGAGTTCACCCAGTCGGTACTCCATCGAAACTCAAAATTCCTGCATTTTTCACGTCGTGCCACACATTTGTCTCAGCATTTCCTGCTATTTGCATCTTGCTTCTGAGCTGTTCTCTTGTTAAATAAGACGATCTGTTGTTATAAAATGAAAGGAATGATATACAAACGAGTTGAACCAGTAAATGAGAGTCAGCAAGTGAGTCCATCGTGAAAGATTTTCTTATTTTTCACCGTCACCACATCTTAAGGTTACGCCCATCCCTTTCCTATTCCAGCTCCGCCGACCGTTTTGCGATAATGCATCACAGTCGGCTACTCGATGTCTACGCCATCGATGGACAGAACATAGTTCAAGAGTCTAGCGTGCAAGGTCCATATAATCTCTTTTTTTACGGAGGACCTCTGTACGGTATAACTATTTCCAGTGTTGGAAGACGAGTTCCCTCAGTACTGCTTATTAGAATTTACCGCTTCTGGATCTCTACTTCTATCGACACGGAGTAGTGCCCAGATTGACGTATTTGATCATCAAGGCGGGTACTGCTATGATATCCCATTGGTTCGTGTAATATCTAACATCTGGCTGAATTTTCATAATATTATCCCAAACAGTATTTTGCTAATAATTTGTTCTAGGAATCGCCTGAGAACAATATTGATTTGGTGTGTGCCATTTCTTCCATTCGAACTATTGCTAACACTACAGCAGACGATAAGTATCTTGATATTTTATACGCATTGCAATACAATGGCGCCCTTTCGGTTTTCAAAATTGGGTAAGCGAATCGTTCCTCTCGGAAGTTGACTAATTAGTTTAGTGATCTTAGTTTTGAGTTGCACCTTCAGGCGTTTAACGAGGTTCCAAAAGCTGTGGTCCGCCTCGCTAGAACTTGGATTAGCAGGCACGTTTTGTGTTTTGCCGAAGTACAATCTTTTGTTGGCTGGTTCTCACTATCGGGCTAATAGCGAGGGAAGCTTGTCTGGAGGGTTGTGCTCCTTCCGCATGACAGATGTAGAACCATACGTGGAGCCCATCAGATTTGCGAGTGATCAAGGTGATTAGTTTTTTTTNTTTTTTTTACTCGCATACTTCCTTATGCATGACAAACCTTTTAAATTTCAGCTGGATGGCTGTCTCGCCTTCCTTTCAGCTCTGCTAGTTATGCGTACTTGGTCTCTATGTCTTTGAATGAGTCAATGTCGAAGTTAGTCGGTGTATCTAGTAATGGCGACTTCCACTTGTTTGATGTTAGTTAGCAAGTTATATACACAAACTTAACATTTTTGTTCTACTATGTTGCTTGAACTTCATTTTACAGATTCCGCATACGGGATCAGTATTTTCTGTAAAATACGTTTCTGGACCACGACCAGTGCAAGCCGTTTTCATCGAAGATGAGGTTCTCCATTTCTCCATTACTTCTCTTTCCGATACTAATAATACATTTTCGATGTATTCGAAAACGAGTTAGCTCTACTTTATAAAATCAGAGCGTGCTGCTACATCTATTCGGTACGCGGAAAGCATTTTATGCTGTCCTATGTTCGCTGCGATCAAGTCCTTCATGCCTGACCTAAGTAGCTTTCTAAAGTATCAGCTTATAAAGTTTCTACCCTTCCAGGAAGTTGGAGTTTTGTTTCACTCCGGGGAATTTGTGAGAAGTTCTCTAGATGAACTAGAAGAAGCCGTATATTCCGTTCGTTGCTCCGATAAGTTCACATCACGTACCACGCTGGTTGCTCCTGCCCACAGAGAATTGTTTGTGTTGGCTACCGATGTAAGTGCACATCCCCTAAGTTGTTTATGCTGATGCGTATGTTTATGACATGCGCATTTCTTTGCAAGGTGATGTTCCGATTGACAACATTTCAGGGTGGCACGGAGGCGTTGCGAGAGGTAGCCCTTCAGAGAACATCCCTGGCATGTCGTCTCTGGATTTCTACTTTATGGAGTTCTTTCAAAAATGTGAACCATCACGTTTGATTTTCGAGAAAAGTATGATGCAAGTGTTTTCTTATTTCAGCTTGTTGGTATAGCTGTTGGTGATGCTGCTCTACCCCTGGAAAAGGCAACACACTCTGAGTCTTTAAACTTCGAGCTTTTACATGCCCCTACACGAACACTTCAGCAGTTGTTCGAGAGAACGGTTGGAATTTCTATTTCATTCAGACCTCATTACTCTCAAACCCTAATGGAATGTTTGTTTATTTCGATTTACCGTTTTAGTTGAATGAACGAGATTACTCTCGTGCAAAGAGTCTTGCTGAGAGTTATGATACAATCGACATTGACATTGTGCTCAAGAGGGAATGGAGGGACATTTGCCAAAACCAGACAGTGGCTGTCGATAGCGTAAACAGTATTTTGGTATGTTTCGAAATGTCGAACGTAACAGTAGTAGAGGTTCTCTTATTTATCTACCAAGATAAAAACAGTTTTCAGCGTCAAGTCAGCGATAGAGATTGGGTTATTGAAACTTGCATCACGAGTGATGCTCAGTCCCTTCCAGTTCAAAAAGCGCTTGTAGATTTGGGTGAGTTTCATTTATTTGATTTTTTGATAAAAAAACATTTCAATTTCTTTATATGCATGATTTCAAGAAAAATGGACGCCTGAGGGTCTTCAGAATTCCATGTGCTTATTGACGCCATGCATAATATCATAGATTGTGATTTAGGCACATCCTTTCCAAGTGCTTCATTGCCTTCACAAGTTCGCCTTCACCACAACGCTCGAATTCTTACGGTTTGTGAAGATGTGGACGAGTACCTTGAACTTCGCAACGTTTCTTGTTTAGAGGCAGCCTTTCGATTCGCGGAGGTTTGGGTTTTTTATAATTATGTTTTACTTACAATATAAGCGTAAGGAAATAGAATAGTTTTCATATAATTTCAAAGCTGTATTCGGAAAACAGTCTGGATGAGAATGTTTCACTCGTTTCCTACTTTCAGCGCTTGGAATTCGTCTTACTGGATCGACTCATCGAACAGAACTACTCTCTGCTTGTTCCATTCACTCTTGATATACTGACACATATTCCTCCAAGTGTTCCACCAAGCCGATTCGAGCATCTTCTGCCTACAAGAGGTGGAAGGCCCACTCAGCTGGATAAGGCGAGTATTTTTACTGGTTTTCTTACTTCCTGTTCAGTTGCTGTGGCTCTTCCTGTTGGTTCTAACTTGACTAATTTGACAGATGCGCAACTTGCCGTGCGCGTAAGTAGGAACTGTTTATTTCGACCCATATCCTTTCTGTGAAGTTTCATATTTCTCGGGTATAATCGCTGACTTGTAAAGACGCTCGGTTCGAGCGTTTCGCTTGAAAGACGATGACTTTTGCCAAAATGAAAAGAATCTAAAAACATACATGAATTTATATAGTTCCGATTCTTTTCCTCTTCCCTTTGTCAAACCCCTCACGAGTCATAGATAACTTACTGTTCTATCCAATTGGTGAGCGTTTTCGCATATTGTGAGCATCTTCTAGAAGTTTGTACTTCTGCTTTTTTCCCAACGCCGCCTCTAAATTTTTTGTTCCCTAGAAGTTCTTGTTGAATTTTTCACCATTTAAGAGCGAGACATAGCAGGTCCTTGTCACGACATAATCCAAGTAGACGAGGTACTAGCTAATGAATGATACGATTTCCATAGCAGTACCCTGTCACAGATTTTCTTCGTTTTGTTTTTATCTCTACCGTTCTATTATTTGCATCACTGACCATTGTTTAGGTTCTCAATGCTCACCTTGATGCGCTGTTTCTACTTGCTGAAGAAAGTGAAGAGATAGAACGAGCGGTACAAATTTGCAATTTCGGTGAATGTAAAATGTGGGCATTCTGTTTCTTTTTCCGATCTTTTCTTTTTCTCAATCATTTGGAATAGTATCCGTGATGCTTGTTGACTATGTTTTGACTCTTCCATTTAAGTGAAACCCCAAGAGATGATTACATTGAATGGGTTCGACAAAGAACCGAGATAATGGATGCCGAAGCAGGCCTACCTGAGCACTGCATTGCCTTGCTCAACATTTCTGTTCAGCGCGGTTATGAGGTTCGCTATTTCTGTAGATTTCGATTCTCGTTATTTGAATTGAAAGTTTCGGGGGCATTTGTTAATTTACAGGAATTGAAATCACGTTTGGAGAGTTTCATGAACTACAGCTTTCTCATTTCTACGTGCTCCCTCGTCGGCGAGACTTTCCAGCGGTTTTGTGAGGCCTCACCTGCACACTACATTTCTTTCTTACGCAAAGTGAGTTGTCTTAGGTTCATTTCAATTATCATCAGCAGAGATGGCGCTTGTTATCGTTAAGTAATAATTAATTACAGCTACCAACTAATGAGCTGGTCAAGAACAACTCTCAAATTTTGAAATTGCTCGAGTGGAGAACTCATGAATCGCTTACTGCCGAACAAGATCTAAAGGATGCTGTAGCATCGTATCTTCTTGCCACAACTGAGACTAGTATGGATGTGTTGAAAGCCGTGCAAAAAGAACGGAGCGATTTATTGGATAAGAATGTGGTGCGTATACTTTCGTTCTCGCAAAACAGCTTAGTTTTCACTACAGATTGTAACACAACTCTTTTCAAGGTCATCCAGTGTCTATGCCACTCTCAGTTGACAGGGGAGGGCTTGCTACGTGCGGTACTTTCAGCTGGAGTCTCCAAAGAGTTGGCTAGTGCGTTGAGCACATTCCATTCGAGAGGTGTCAAACCAACGTTTAAACAATTATGGGAAAGCACGACAAATCCGTAAGTCCTTATCACACCTCTTACATTCTTTGCATTCCACTCTGTGCATTGATATTCATTAAGATAAATATTTCGTTCTTTAGTGATGCTGCTAGAAGATTGCTTATTCGTATGGCTCGCTGCGGCCAAGCAACCTGTATTGCTGAGTGGGAGGCTCTTCGGGATGAAGTACACAACCTCACTACGAGGTTGGTTGAGGAACCGATTGTTTGATACAAAACAGTCCATGCCAGCCTGTTCAGCAGATGGGAACGCTTCTTTCATCGACTCGTTCTGCTAGGCTGAAGATTTAGAGTTTCAAGAAAGCACAAAAATTAATGTCCTCTACCCGTTGATTTCTTTGCCATCTGCATAAACGTGCTCGTTCCGAAACCTTCCAATCATAACTATTGTCGTCGTGACTTGCAATGGGGATGTTTCGAGATTGGAGTATTTCAAGATATAGATATTGTAGATATATTTTGAATATTTCGAGATCCTTGACTTCTGTATTTTGGAGCTTTATTGTGTCTTTAAACATTTACATATGGATATTTAGCATTTATAATGGAGTAATCGATCCTGAGGAAGCTGCTGCTATTGTAACGCGTGAAATGCTCTCGGATACAAATATCTCGCATGACCAGGGCGTCTTACAATTATTCCTAACGCTTGACAAAAAAGCATCAAAGGAATCCAATTCCGGAAGGCTCAGCTTGGAGAAAAGCGCTGAGGTAGGCATCGTATCGTGCCGTCATAAAATTAAGATTCATTTCTCACTCCTGGGATCATGAACTCCTATTCTGAAGTTCTTAATACAATCTCTATTTTAGTCGTCCAGTGATTCTACTTGTCTTCAGCATCAAGTTAGGAAAATTATTAGAAAAGCCCTCTGACCTTAACTGCTCTCTGATAAGCCCTTGTTCAATCGTGCTTAACTACCATAACTAACTGCCATACCCATATTGTCTGAAAAAGCTTATTCTCGATTTTCTGATTGAGATTAATGATCTCTCTCTATTAATGAAAGGCAGAGGCGAAGTAATGCCAAAAGATAGGTACACATACATATGTTCAGAGTATCAAATCCTTCAGAGCTGTCCGCAGGCAAAATCTGCTTAAGTTGCTGTAATCATGCAGCGCTTGGGTCTGGTGTGCATTTGTACCGACAGTTAATTTTTGTTTCAGGTGCTCATAAAGAAAAGCGAGGAGCTGATGCAAGAAGCGTCATCGCCCGATGATCCCGTGCTGTGGCAGTCTCGCAGCTTGGCTGAAGCCGCTCGAGGTATTGCACCAAAAGAGGCTGGGCAACAACTCAAGCTTCTTGAAACCGTGGATTTAGCGCGCGAACTTGGGTCCACAGCATTGCCAGTTGCTATCAAGTGAGGATGAATAATTGCTGTTGTTAAAGCTCTTGGTTTCTTTGAATTCATAATCTCACTTATCTATGTTACAGATTTGCCGAGCCGTATGCGTTCCTTGAGGAAATCATCAAGTTGAATGGGAATTATAAGCAGGTGGGCGATCTCTTTGTTTATGCACCGAGTGGTCGCTCACTGGTGGAAGCTCCCCACATTTTTGAGAGAGAATTTGAAGGCAGTGCTCCAATTTAGGGCAAGAAGTGTGCAAAACTTGCTGTTCTGCTTGGTGTGGAAACTCCAGTTGCCACTGCGCTGTCACTTTGCGCGCTATCCGCTCTTGTCGCTCATGATGAGCGTTATCTTGGGAAGTACATTCACGAAGTTATCGCAAAGGTGTTTTCATAGCAGCTTCAACATTTTTTTCTGTGTTAAAGCAGATTGTTTAGGGGCGGGATTTGCCGGTCGTTCATGAGCTCTGTATCCGTATCATGGAGTCTTCGTTCGTTCCAGAGGTGGTTTGTTACCATTGTTGAACAACAGGATTCTCTCAGTGCTTTTTCGAAATAGATTCACGCCTTCCTGTTCATAGGGCTCTTCTACTTGGGTCCTAATGTGAGGGAGGGATATGGGTCGACCTTCTTCTCTTGCCCCAATTCTTGCCAAATATGTGTTCATGAGAAATACCTAGTTTTTAAATTTAAAAGTGGTTTTATTCTAACCTGCAATTAGCTTTTCTTCGACATGTCGCGCATCGTTAACTCGTGTTAATCCATCAAATTAATGACTCCCTTTTGTTTGTGTTGTTTATGTGAATGGATATGGAAAGGCTGGAGATCTGTTTCCGAATTACCTAATACCACACATTATAGGTTATGGAAGAAATTTACGCTTGCGCTTTGCTTAACGCTCCACAAGACAAACTAATGGAAACGCTAGATCTCATACAAAGTCACAGATCTGCTCGAAAACACAGGAGAATTGAAGGCCTGGAGATCAACGATAAACTAGTGATCGATCCGATGTATGCAAGGGTATGCTAGATTTCTCATTTGAATAGAATATGAGTGTAGAACTTAATTTCTCAAAATACGCGGAGTTTGGCAACAAGCTTTTTTCAGGCGCGTTCATTGCAGTATGTCTCACGAACTAGGCATGACGACTACCACATTCTTCGTGAATGCTCCAACCTGCCCACCACTGAAGTCAGTTATAATGTTCATTTCAGTTTTCTAAGGAATTTTTTGATAATAATTTGTCACGAGGGATTTTCGTTAGGACATAGCTCTATAGCCGAAAATACTGCTCATTTCTTGATTTTTTATTTTGATCTGCTTCAGGTTCTCATCATTCTGATATTTTGCGATTCATCTAAAATACTGTGTCTTTTGCGGGTGTTTTTTGGTTACATTTTCTGGTTGTAGGTAGCGACCTTGCTATCCGATATAAGTTCGTCTCTAGCGTTATGTACGGCACTCACTGAGGCTGAGTTCAAGCCATGGACAAAAAACGAATTCTTGATTAAATACGAGCAGGTAACTAAATTTTGTAGGCTTTCTTTGCAAATTTACTCTGCTTTGGAACACTTTCCATTGAAGGCCTTACGCGCCCTCGAACCACAGCTCAATGATCACCTCGTCGAATCCATTCCTCCATCTCTACTGATTTCCCTAGTTACATCTGATACGAACCTTACAGCTTTGGACAGGTTATCAGATTACGGTGAGATCGTTGAGTATTCTGATGTGCTTTACAAGTTCTATCAACGAGATATTAGTGTTTTCTTTTCGACAATTTATTCAGCTTCTTTGAGTTTGTGTTATTGATAGAAGTTCACTCGTCTTAGAGAGAAGTAGTGACGCCAGTGATGCTCACGTAGGTATGCTGCTTCGCGTAAGTCAAGAACGAAATTGGTTTGAGCTAATTGAGACGGTGAGAAAAAATAAGACGTTTTGGTTTTTTTTCGAAGGAATGGCTAAGTTATAGAATGCTACGCTCACTGGAAATAATTTTGTGGTACATTATCGCTGAAAGGCGCCGCTCTTCTATTTTTTTTTTTTGAAATTCATCAATGAGTACTTTTATGCATTTCAGGTTGTGATCGGGAGCGATTTATTGAAGATCCTGAGTATCGAAAGGAGTCAATCGTAGGATTGGCCATGTTAGTGTTCACGTTCCCATAAGCTCAACTTTACTGATATTTTGTATGCTTTTGGTTCTTTTAAGGACTGAAGACGATGCTATGTACGCGGATGCCCTTCAACTGGCGCAAGATTTCAAGATGAATGATTGGCCTGTGCATTTTGCCTCGTTAGAGAATGCGCTCACTTCGTAAGTATAGCTGCACAAATTATTGTAAAAATGCCCAATCAGTGCACTATTAGTGGACCTCGACACGACTTTTTCTTATTTTAAAAGTTGCTTGATTGTATATTTATCCAGATTGAGTATCCAAGAAGCAAAAGCGATATTGAAGTCGCGAGGACACCTTGCTCGTCTACGTTCGGATCCAGACAGGTTACATAGCCAGCTGAGGACATTGGTTGGTCCTCTGATGACCAGTAATGACGAGTTCATTGCTTATCTATCGCTGTTTACTGATGGGCAGCCAGAACGAGCAGCTCTGCCGGTACTGAAGCGCATTTTAGAGAAAAAGCGAGGTGGAATATTGGAATACTTAACGTTTTCCTTCTTTCACTTTCTTTTTGTGGTGTGCTGTTATAGTTAGCCTTATTTCTGTGACTCACATGTGGTCTTCAGATCTAAAGGCTGTACGCCTCTTCACAGATGCAGACTATTTGTACAATCTCATTCTTTCTATTCCTGATCGGGTAATTCTATCGCTAGTGGACGGGATACTTTGTATACCGGTACTGTTTCATAACAAATTCTGTTTCGAAGGTAAATTGCTCAATGAGTTTTGTTCTATCCAGGTGGGAGCGGAGGCCTGTGAGGCAGCAGCACGTATTCTTCTCGATGGCACTGAAATCAGGCCGGCAGCCAATCCTGCTGTTATATTTGCTCTTCTTCGCAAAGATGAAGCTAGCTTCATCGATCTTGTCGCGTGTAAGACAGTGAGTAATTTGAAATCGCAGATCAGAACTGGTTAGCTTCTTCATCAAAGGTGTAGTACAGTCTCAGACTGTCAGGGAAACAACAAAAGTCTTTTTGATTTTTCATTTTGGTATCCAAATAACTTTTATTTTTTACCTCGTACAATGGCAAGAGATGAAGGAGATGATTTTACTCCTACTGATTCTAGGTACCAGATGAGCTGCAATATCTTGAGCGGGCAGCATTGATATTGGAGGCTACACCAAATGCTGATAAGCGATTGGTTGAAGTTGTCAGGTCGGTCTTTGTAGACATACAAGCAATATGAGTTGTTTGGGCAATATGAGCTTAGTGGATCAAGATGCACCTTTTCAATCAAAATCACTTCTCAGGCCGCTTTTCCCTAATTTCGCATATTGGGCCTGCCTCGTCTAAGTTTCTGCAGTCGGTATAATACAGCCCACATCCTACATGAACCTTGTAGACAGCGTTCAGACTGTGAGAACGTGGCGTCAGAGTGTTTCCTAATTGTCTTAACAAGCAAGAAAAAAGATAATCTATAGTAAATCAATCGTTTGCTGTTTAACCAACTGGTAATTCTCTTGAGCTTCCTGATAATTGCTGTTATTTTTCTCGAGTTTCTTGTGATTGCTGTTATTTCGCCGCACTACGTTATTTGGAACCCTCAAAAGGGTAGCGAATTAAGAGCAAACCATCTGTCCCGTCCTAAGCCGAATTTTCGCCCATCTTTTTGAACTCTTTCTTGAGTTCGTTAAAAACGAAATATAGTGGGTTCTGTGTGAGCCGCATAACCACACACTCCATCAAATGGAAGATTTTTCGCCGTCAAAGTTAACAACAACTTGTTCTACCTCTTTCTCTTTTTGCACTTGATTGTTTTGACTTGATTCATTTGCAGAGATAGGTTGTCGACACTACGGACATCCTTGGAAAGTAGTAGTAGCGCCAGTAGCACACCGGATCCCTTCGAGCAGGATGCTATGGTCTTCCATAGGAGGAGACGATAAAAATAGTGTTTATTTAGCCATTGATTGTTATCTGAGATAGTTTTTTTTTNNNTTTTTTTTTGTTAAAATATGGTAAAGCAGGTGTCTTTATATAGATAGTTCTCTTGTTCACTTGCATTGTTATAATTTTGAGCTAGCACTACCATTGTGATATGTGTTTCATATTTCAAATCGGGTGTTCTTGTACTCTGATGCAAAATAGATTTTTTATTGTTATACTTGTGGTATATGCTCCGATGGAGGTCATAATAAGTCTTTGATGATATCTAGGCTTTTCTTATACAGTTCCAAAGATCATCGCTTCTAACGGTTTCAGCTATGAGAATCTGATCGGCAAGCAGAGGTTACAACTCACATTTTTTTGTTTGAATCTATGCCACTGTCATGCTATTCCTTGCCAGTTTTCCTAGTCGACCTCTTTGGGCGATTTTTTGGTATCGCTTATAGTTGGTAGAGTGAATAAACGGACAAACGGTTGCTCTTCCTTGATTTCATGCTCTACATTTCATGCAGAAGTCATCATCTGTGCACGACCTTTCCAAACCCATTAGTTATTAGTGGTTTTGTAGGAAGGGCGAGTGTCGTAGGCGTTGAACTGCCATTCACAAAAATTTTTAGGTTGGAAGATTGGCGATGAAAATTTTGAAGTGGGATGCGTAGCGATGAGTAAAAGAAGAAGCGTAGAATCGGAAGTAAGCAGGTCGAAGAAGTTCCATCGAAATGATAGCAGCAGTAGCAGTACAAGTGGTGAATGGCTGTGTGCAAGCACTCGGGTGCCACTTCCAGGTGAAGGTAAGATGCATCATAGGCAAGGATACAACATATACAAGCTTGACGGATTTTTATATTTCCTTTGAAAGTAAAAAAACACTATGATAAAAAGTATTCCGGGTTTGTTCGGCGACAGGGGATGAGGTGAGGATATGCCGACCAAGATGTACCATTCGATCTGATATCCAAGATGAGTCGGGAATTTCGTTTTAATTGAGTGATACAGCTTCAAAAGTGCAGTTCAGAAATGCACAGCCTCGAGATCAGAGTCGCTATTCGATTAACCTCGGCTGTCTGCTTGGACTTTCTTCACACAGAAGAAGACTAACTTTTTTATTCTGTACACATGGTTGTTAAGAAGTTTTCGACGCATATTTTACAAGATTGCATCGAATTAGGTATAAGTTATATATTTACATTGGAATATATATTCACTTTTGAAAACAGTTTTCTTCGCTAGTGAGGTGACGCAATCTAGCAACGCCGCGCGTTTTCCGAACTTATCTGGTTTTCCATTTTCTGGGATTACAATTTTTTAGCTATAGCTTTTTTCAAAAAGTACATTGTCCTAAAACATTTCGGTGCAGTTCCAGAATGAACAAGGCGACCCACTGCCAAATGATCACTAAGATCACAGAGCACCGGCAAGACGGCCCTGTTTATAGCATAAAATCGTCTTGGAGTAATGTCCGCTGCCACAAGCTGCCAGGGTGCTTTAGGAATGTCTGGTAGCACTCTCTTTACCGATGAGGTTTTTTTAGGTCTTTGCCATTTTCGTCTCGTGATCTTTACCGCGATGCTTTAATTTGAGCATTCCTCTTTTTCCTTCATACGAAGAATAGAAATCGAAGGGGAGAGCAGCTTTGGCTTCACTTGTCTTTGCTCTGTCCATTTATTTTTCCGTCAGATTTAGATTTTTCTGAGCTAGCAGTATTTTGGTAACTAATGTACGGTCCCATCCCGCTATTCTGATAGTGCCAAAGTTCTCTAGGAGAAGACCGACCTGCTTCGTAGGTTGTTCGTTGAACCAAATTCAAGCAAGAACGGTCCATCGCCTAGTTATGCAGCACAACACCCATGTCACCATTCTCAGCGCCTGCACTAGCACATTTCAGGAATATTTCGAGAATCAGGTCAAAAATTGGCAAGGCATTTATTGTTAGATGGCATGATTAGAACGTTTTGAATTCGGCACTATATACATATGTCTCGCTCTGCGCGACCCTTGAACCTTTGGTGGTCCTATACACTGTTTGCCATCCCTTCGACCTTTGATAACCCCAAATATTATTTTCCACCGGTATCAGCTGGGTATAAATACCCGTGCACCGCTGATACGGGGCTTGTTGTATAGCACTGGGAATATAGCTTCTTGAAGCACAGTGATCACTGGAACCCTTATGAAGTTCCCCCCTTCTTCGCAAGAGGTATAGAAGGAACTATTCGTGCTCTCGCTTCGTGAGTATCTCGGTGGAGAAAACTCATGTATTACCGCCAAAAGAAGCTACTCTGAACATAACATGTACCTAATATTGTAGTTCATATTGCTCAAAAATACATAAAAATAAGTTTGCGAAAATGTGATGAGTGAGCAATGATCCAGTATTTGGTACCTGCTCTATGGAGTAGTCAAAATTGTGGGGATTCGATAGTCTGAAGATGATTGTGATGCCAGACTACTAGTGGTGGTTGGAGGTACTAGCAAGTAACTGACGTTGTAAATACAAGTCTTGACTAGGGGAGCACCCTAGTAAGGCTTGGTAAAGGGGGCGACACCTAAAAAAGGTTCATTCAAAAAATGGCCCGCAAGAGTAGTCTTATGGAATGAAGTGGACGATACAAATACTGCTTTTTATTTCGATTCAAGGGTATACAAGCTAACGGGTGTAAAGGTAGTAGTTCATGTTGCTTACAAATACGCAATAAATGTTTAAAAATATGGTCAGTAAACAATGCGCCAGTAGTTAGTAGCCGCTCTGGTGAACGTGGCTAACTTCATCAGGGAAAAATTTCACGTACAGCTTTCCGTAGACCTCTGCATAAGGGGAGACGGGCAGTAGGAACGGTTTTGTGCAATCGTTCAGCCGCACGCGGCTGCCGCGGATCATTTGCCTCATTATAACAGTTCCAATGTTCTTCATACAGCTCGATCGCTATGCGATTATTACTTTTGGTACGATATACTGTTAATTCTTTTGTTCCTGTATTTCTGACTTGCTGCTGCATTCTGTACATTCCTTCGCGCGCGACGTCTCTCTCGCCATGACGCGACAATTTCGTTCCTAGCTCCACACCCCTGGAAGCCTGAAGATATCATAGCAATTTGTGCGTATCCGATCGAACATCTCCACTGCCCCGCTGGTGTTTGAAACCATAAGGGCACACGCATGATATCGGATACTCGCAATTTGTTACGATTTTCCCAGACCCATATTCCGGCGAAACATCAGCTCAATTATGCTTACGAAGAATTCAACAATACACTTATGCAGACATCATTGAGCTGATATTTCGGCGGAATATGGGTCTGGGAGAATCGTAACAAATTGTGAGTAGCCGATATCATGTGTGTGCCCTTGAGGTCTCAAAATCCAGGGGGGCAGTGGAGATGTTCGATCGGATACGCACGAATTGTTATGATATCTTCAGGCTTCCAAGCTAAAAAAGGTGGTGCAACCGAAACGTCAATCTTGTAAACCTTAAATATGCGAATCTCGAGAAGAAATTCAGAAGGCAGATTAGTAATTTATCGGGAGAATTCGAAGGTCTGAAAGTCACGAACCAATGAAATGAGTTCCATAGGCTTCATAGTGAAACTCTATTATAGGGAAACTTTTCCAAAAATCATTTGAGTCGTCGCACTCTTGAATGGAAATGAAAGAACATTTTGAAGCATTTTGTGATCTCTCTTTTTTAGCTTTGAACTTTTCGCTTGCTAAATCTCGGAAATCAATTGCTTCATCTTCTTCCAAGCGGAAAGCACCCAGACTAGGTCAATAACTTCTTCATTTAGATGGATGAGGATTCTCACGCTTTTGCATCTATTCGATAAGATTTTCTCGCAGTTTTCTTCAAACTGTAGTTTTAAGAAACGTCAAAAGGAATCACTGCAGCAGATGCAGGGCACTGTTGGCTTCCGTTCGCTTGCAGCGCTGCCACTTCAATTCTTCTCCACACTCGACATACTTCAGATGAACAACCGCGTACCTCACCCCTTTTCAGTGGGTCACGAAAAACGCGAACCATCAAAGGTACGTATAGATGTGGATTTTCAATGCGATTATCTCAAACGAAGGCTCGTAGATAAAGGCACCTAGCTGGTAGAACCGCTTCCTCGCCAGATTTTCTTAGCTTCTCGGTATCAACTATTTTCGACAGGATTTTTTGGGAGCGAAATTCATTTAGAAACTTTCTCAGCA